TCTGAGCATAAAGGTTATCGTTGTTAAGATCCTCTCTCTTATCGCATTCGTATTTCTCGACATGTCTTTTAGGAAAATATCAAGTTTTCATCTCTAACCGATCTCTCGTCGTTCTTATCTTCTTTGCCTCCTATTTTTACAGATATTTCTACTGATCTTTTTCCTAGTGACTTGAGTACAGATTCTTTTGTTGAGCTCGTTTCCACGATCGACGCCGCGCCCGCTCCAGATATGCCTACTATCACACCTATTGCTCCTCCAACACAAGTCACGCCTATTGAGCCCATATCGTCCACTGACTCTTAATCCAATCGTGTAAGAAATCCTCCCTCTTACCTTAATGATTACCATTGATTTTTCACTATTCTCCAATTTCAAGAACCCAAATCCTTTAAGGAAGCCTCTTGTGATCCCTTTTGACAGCAAGCTATAGATGATGAATTGCAGGCCCTAGAGAAAATGCATACTTGAGATCTTATTGATCTTCCTCCTAGTAAAACTTTAGTTGGGTGCCGATGAATCTACAAGAACAAGACTCATTCTGATGGCTCTTTGAAGCAACATAAGGCCCGTTTGGTAGCCCAAGGATTCACTCAAGAGTATGGTGTTGACTATGAGAAAGCTTTTGTACCTGTAGCTCATATGGCTTCTATTCACAGCCTTCTAGCCATTACTACTATTAAGCACTGGCCTCTTCACCAGATGGATGTTAAAAACGCCTTTCTAAATGGAGATTTAGAAGAAGAAGTGTATATGAAGCTTCTACTTGGGTATCAACATCCAAAAGACAAGGTCTGTCATCTTCGTCGAGCTTTATATGGGCTCAAGCAGGCTCCACGTGCATGGTTTGCTAAGTTTAGTAACACTATAAATCAATTGAATTTTTCTTATAGTCCTCACGACTCGGCTCTTTTTGTTTGCTCTACGGCTCATGGTATTGTTTTGTTACTACTGTATATTGATGACATGATTATCATAGGTAGTGATGATACAAGAGTTCATGAGCTCAAGACATACTTGGGCCAGTAATTTAAAATGAAAGATCTTGGCAGATTGAACTATTTTCTTGGAATTGAGGTCCACCATGTGAGTGATGGTATATCTCTTTCTCAAGTCAAGTATGTTACCGATTTGATATCCTGAGCTCACCTTTCTGATGAGGAAGTTGAAACTACTCCTATTGAACCAAATGTTTAATATACTTCTACTGATGGCACCTTGTTGGATAATCCTACTCGTTATCGCCAATTGGTTGGGGGCCTTATCTATCTTGCCGTCACACAACCTGATATTGCTTATGCAGTTCATGTTATTAGCCAGTTTATGTCTGAGCCTCGCACAACTCATTATGCAACATTTCTTTGGATCATTTGATATATTAGAGGCACTCTATATCTTGAGCTTCACTTCTCTGCTAGCTCATCTCTTACACTGTGAGCTTACTCTGATGTTGATTGGGGTGGTGATCGTGATGATCGATGGTCTACGACAGGTTTTTGTATCTTCCTCGATCATTCCCTTATCTCTTGGAGAAGTAGGAAGCAGACATTAGCCTCTCGCTCTAGTGCTGAATCAAAATATCGTGCACTAGCAGACACCACTGCTGAGGTACTTTGGCTTCGTTGGTTACTTGATGAGTTGGGAGTATCTCAGAGCTCCTCCACAGACATTTATTATGATAATCAAGCTGCAATTAAGATTGCTCACAATGATGTATTTCATAAGCAAACCAAACACATTGAGATTGATTGTCACTTTACTCGACAGCATATTGTTCGGGGCACCATCTGACTTGTTCCAACTTGAACCAAGTATCAACCGGCGGACTTGTTTACAAAGTCTTTTTATCCAAGTCGCTTTTAGTTTTTAGTAGACAAACTCAAGTTGCTTTCTGTCAAGCCATCTTAAGTTTGAGGGGGGATGTTATCTAAAATATTCTCCAGATATTTTTTATTATTATTGTATATATATCTCAATTATTATTAGGAGATATTATTTGATATTATTATATAGTTATTAGTCATTATTATATTTTTTATTTTCTTTGTATATAATGAAATCTTTATCTCAATAATACATACGACATTTTTCAATTCTTCTCTTGTTTCTCTCTCTTATCTCTAATAGCTCTCACTTGGAATTCACTTGAAGCTATATAGCTTGGATTTACCAAGATTAAAAGGATCCACTTGAACTAAGCTTATCACCATTATGCAGAATATAGCCTTAAAAATAACACACAACAGGGGAAGATTGTTAGACACTTTCAATTCCCACACAAAATTCACAGCCAAATCAGATTTGTCAATCATGCTACCAGGGGAACCCACATTAAATCTTCACTTTGCCCCAAAAAAGCCTAAATGAGTCTGCCAAATGATAATCATATATAAGAAATCCAAATGCTGGCAGAACAATAGATGAATATTTTAGGCAAAATATATAACAAGATTGTCTTATATTTCAACTAATTACTCTTTTTTTAAAAAAATGATACATCAAAATTTTAATTGTCATTATTAAACATTTATCTATAGTGTATTTAATGATTGTAAAATTAAAAAGATGTATATTTTTTTTAAAAAAATTAAGATTTTACTTAACTTTTTTTTTTTTTTAAAGAACGGTGAAGTGCTTGTAGTTACCACCACGAGCGACTACCAAGCAGGGAATCGGGTCATGAATAGGTTGAAAAGGGCAAATTAAGATATCATAAATTCATTTATTAAAAATTTTTTTATTTCCATTAAAATATATATTTTTTATTTTTAATTTCAATTTATGACAAGTTAAAAAATATCATAAATTCACATACACACAAGAATCTGTCAATATATATATGAAAAATAAAGTAAAATTTTTTTTACAAATATTAAATTACTTATATTTTAAATTAAAATTAATAAAAAATTACTTATATTTTGAACAGGCCTAGTTCACACGCGCAAACTGTATCTCCCGTCCTGTTTATTAAGCAAAAAAGTGAATATTTTTTGTCAGTTGTAAACTTGTAATTACCATGAAAGCCGAGCCTCCCCAAGTTGACATAATGATTGACTCGCATCTCTCAAGTTGCAAGTCAATCATTTGTGACCGTCATCTTTGCCGCCTAACTTTTTGGTCAAACTCAAAAGACGCTTCACGATTTTCCATAATTTTCATTTATGAAAGGTAGAATGATGCCCCACCATCTAAAAGTATAAAATATTTTTAAATAAAATTTTACATTTCAATAAATTTTATTAAATATATTTAATAATTTTATTTTTAAAAATAAAAATATAAATTTTTAAAAATACTCATTATTTAATATATTAAAAAGAGAAGAGATAGAAGTTAATTATAAATAAAAAAAAGATAATAATAAAATTGATATTTTTAGGGTGTGTTTGGTTCAAGAAGATGAGAGGGAAGGTAAGGGGAGAGGAGGGAGGGGAGCTCTCACCCAATTTGGAGGGAAGGCTTTGGAAGGGAGGGGAGAAAAAATTTTCTCCCATCTTTCTAACCAAATGAGGGAAGGGGAGCCCCTCCCCTTCCTTCCCCTCCTCCTCAACCAAACACACTCTAATGAAATCTTAATTCAGTAAAAAAAAATTTATATTTTGAAACGTAAAATTTTTTTTAAAAGTATCTTATACTTTGAGTCGAAAGGACTACTGGTACAAAGTAATTAGTATTTATTTAAAATTTATGAGAAACAATTATTCGAAAGCAAAATTAAAACTTCAAGGCAGCCGTTATTTCCTAATCGATCATCATGCATCACTCTTCCCCTCAGATTCTTCCTTTGTCTAATGTGAACTTGCATGTTGATGTTTTGAGAGTGACTATACACGCAACTTCTCTTGTTTTGCTTCTCCTTTACCATGAGCTCTACCCACATTGATTCTGTAATCTTATTTTTTAATTTTAAAAAGAATATAATAATGTTTGTCATTTCCGTTTACTTTGAGAACACGGGCACCATTTGCACCATTTGACTGTATAAAATGTTTGTCACAGCATGAGGACGTAACCATGCAAGAGGCGCACGCTTAATTATTGTCTAAATTTTAATGTTGGTGTCTTTCCTGTGTTGGAAATTGGAATGGTCGTCATTCTTGGAAATTTCAGAGATGGCTTCTTCATGTCTTTGATCTCTCCGCCCAGCAAAAAAAGAAAAAGAATTAGACATGTCTTTGTCCAATTTCTAAAGATGCGTTAATGATATGCCTCAAATGAAGGAGCCACGTGATTGTTCGTCTTAAAATAAAATGATAAAGAGTAAAATACAGTAACGTCCCCTATATTTTGCTAAAATTCTAGAGGCGTCATCTATATTTTCAAAACATACATTTTAGTCTAATTCTTTATACTGAATATTCCGTTAAAAATGTTAAAATACTTAATTTTTTATTTCTAATTAGTTAAAAAATTTTAAAATTATTAATTTATTCTTATAATCAAACTTTGTATAATTAAGATTGTTAATACTAATATAAATAATTTAAAATATTTGTGTTAAAATAAATTAAATTAAAAAATAAACTAATTCTATTGAGTAATTTATTATATTGAATTCTTATTTCATAAATTTTTTCATAAAAATATTTCTTAAATTTTTTAAACTGCATGCTCGAATATTATTTTAGCCTAACAAAAATGTAATATAAATGAAAAATTAAAAAAAACATGCATTAATTTGTTTTGACTGATTTGAATGATTTTTTGACAAAAAATAAAAGAGAGATATTTTGGTTAAATATATGTGACTTAATGGTTAGATAACCAGTTGGATGGATGAAATTAAAATATTAAAAATAAAAGAGATGTTTGTGTTTTGCAATTGTAACTATTTATATTAAAGGAGGTTCATATAAATTTTAAAAATAAAAGGGTAGTAACTATAATTAAGATAAAATAGAGGGGTCAGTATATTTTACTCAATCATGAAGTTAGGTCCAACGGTCGGTATATATAATATTTTCAATATAATATTCTCATTCCAGTCCCGCCCTTGCTCGGCCAATCATTCATTCTTCTTCCTCCCTCTCACCCTCTTCTGCAAGAATGAAAAACACCGCGCGGCAGAACCTTCAACAAAAGCGTCCCTTCTTCTTCTTCGCATTCTTCTTTAACTTCATGATCTGGTCATGGTGGACTCTTGACGGCGTCGTTTCAGACCCGCAGACCAATTTAGTGAAACTGTGGTGTGACAATGAAGGCGACATTGACGGGTCCATCATGAAGGAGATCCTAAACGAAACGCTTCGAGAACTGAGAGCTCAGATCAAAGACCGGAGCAAACGCTTCGCCACAGCGCAGGCAGTGAAGTCCAGCATCCCCGTTTATGCCCTTTTTCAGTGCAGAAACTACCTCTCCGTCGCCGACTGTCTCTCTTGCTTCGACGTCGCCGCCGTGAATATCCGAAATTGCTCCGCCAGGGCATATGGCGGCCGTCTCGTCTACGACGGCTGCTTCCTGAGGTACTACTAGTTCTTATAATTCAACTTTGACATTTTTTCCCTTTTGAATAGCAGAGCGTAGAAATAATATATTCATTGCGACAATATTATTGTGTTTCTATTATGTATACATTCAATAATTACAATATTTACGATGATTTACAATGAAAGAAATGCTCCCTATCATAATAAAGATATATAGGAACTAATTTAGTAATTCACACATATTAAAGAAATTAGGTAAGTTAATTATAACATGGTTATTACATCCAAGCCTAATAATTAATCTAATTGATTATAATAAAACTTTGAAATAATTGAAGTATATTATTTTCATTTGTATATGACAATAAAACAAGCAATAATTAGTAAAATGATAAGCTGAGTTTATAATGAAGATTTATTTGTAATTTCATGGCTATTGATTTTTGTTATTAAGTCAAGATGTTATGGAATCAAATCTCACATTGGCTCAGCGCAAGTGACCTTGCCATCCATGATGGGGCTCATTGACTCCAATGCTACGGATAATGATGGTGGTGGGGGATTGTTTTTCGTAATAAGTAAAGTGCATTTTGGTAATTGATAATTAAATTTCAGTTTATTCCTTTAATGATATTTCAGAATGGGGGGATAATAATTTGGGACCTTGTAAAGATACCAATGACAATTAAAAACTTTGAAATATTGAAATACCATAAAAGGACCACAGTCATAATTTGTAATTACAGTATTCTTATTTATTGAAATAACTAATAGAAAATCACTTATGAATTTAAGAAAAATTGATTATCAATTTAAAGAAAATTACTAGTGAATATACGAAAAGTTAAGTGTGAATTGATAGAAAATTTTTATGAATATGGACATGGTTTGAAAAGTTACATGTAAATTTATAAAAAGTCAGTTGTGAATTAATATTCAAAATTAATTTTAAATCATTGATTGACAATTAAAACTATTTATATTCATTCACAAATGATATGTTCCATATATTCACAAGCAACATTCCTAAATCATAAGTGATACATAAATAATGATACATTAATTCATAAAATTATCTATCCATTTACAATTTACTTTTCATTGAATCACATATAACATTACTTAAATTGATAACTTACTTTACTTGAAATCATGAATCACACATTCCACTAGCTATTTTAATAATTATTTATTTTTAATTACAAATAGAGACTGGTCCTTCCATGACATTTTAATAATTCTAGGTCTTTAATTGTTATTAATTCCTTTAAAAAGTTTGTAATTGTTATTTTCCCTTTCAAAATCCATTGGTCCTCAAATGCAAATATCTTATACACTATAATCATGATACACTAACTTGATTGTACACTAATCATTATAAGTGTGTATTTTTCGACTTCTTCAGTAGCCATATGGGCGCAAGTAAATTTTAATTAACCATTATAGCACACTTCATTATTGGTAGAAAACTAGTGATAATTACATTGGTACCGTAAACCTTATAAATATATCTGTTTTCATTTTTCCCCCTTTCTTGTTTACATCAAGAGGACTTAAAGCCATCTGGTTTATGCATGAGGCTGTCAGAAATTACATATTTTTCTGGGCACAACACACTAAAAAGGACATTGGAGGGAAGTTTGAATCGTGTAATTATGCAGGTACGAGAGCAGCCAAATATTCGATTGGGCAAGCGAAAGTTGGAACAACATAGTCTGTGGGAATCAGACAATAAAAGATTCCCCTGATCTTGCTTCAACTGTGCAACAAGTTATCAACAATCTAGACATAGCAACCCCAAGAATCCCTGGATTCTATGTGGCCACTAAGACGCCTGTGCCGAACAGTAATGGTTTGAATATTTATGGCTTGGGTCAATGTGTTGACACTGTCTCACAAGCTGGGTGCCAGACTTGCATGGACATTGCGTTAGCACACTTTAAGACTTGTCTTACCAACACAGATGCTAAGAGCTACGACATTGGCTGTTTTATGAGATACTCTACCACCGCCTTCTTTGCTGATAATCAAACCACTGATATCAGCCGCTTCTTATTGAAACATGGTATGCATGTAGAATTATGTGTAATTTGTGTTATCAAGGGGAAAAAAGAATTATGTGTAGTTTGAAAACTTTTAAATGTTGTCTGTGCTTCATTTATGCCACAAGTACTTAATAAACACTACTACATTGCATCCATATATCTGTCCAATACTATATGCAAGCTTAATTGTGCTTCTGATTCAGATGGTAGGACTTAATAAAGTCGATAAGAGTTTCATGAGATACTCCACCACTTCATTCCTAATATCCACACTACTTATATAATTCCCTTGAGTAAACAAAGTACAATTGATTCAAATATTAAATACAATACACGTATCAAAACAAGATGATTTCATTTTGTAAGAATAAACTTAAAACTTGTGTTAATACGTGTCTGGTGTCATGGCTTGATTATATTAGACTGTAATTTTATCCTTGTCCTGCGCAGCTGGTTCAAGCAATAAGGGGCCATGATTGGTTTTATTGTTGGAGGTATAGTGCTTGTTTTGATCTTCCTTGCATTTTTTGCCTGGATTAGATCACCAAAAACCCGAAGAGGGTTCCCAAAGGTAAGCAACTTGAAAGTTGTTCTTGTACTACTATGCACGAATTTGTATAATGGTTTAATGCTTTCTTTTTTCACTTTTTCCCCCTCAACATAAAAAAGTGGTGAACTTTAATCTCCATGGAAGTAGGAATCTCTTAACTCTTTTTCTTTCTTTCTTTCTTCATTTTAGGAGGATAAATTGACTAATGTTGTCCTTAAACAGGAGATATAAGTGGGATAAGCATGTTGAAAGGCCCACTTAATTACAGTTATGGGGATTTGAAGTCGGCAACAAATAATTTCAGCCTTGAAAATAAACTTGGAGAAGGAGGATTTGGTGCTGTATATAAGGTAACTATACATTTCGACTTTCAAAATTTTGACATAGATCACGTTCCACATCAAGAAAATTTCTAAGTGAGTTTTATATATATAGTGCTGTAAAAGCTTCAATTTTTGAAGGACAAGGTAGAACCTCGAATAACATTTTCAAGATTGAAATTCTTAATCATTGTGAACAGGGTACTTTGAAGAATGGGAAAACTGTTGCAGTCAAGAAATTAACTTTACGACAATCCAAGCGGGTGGAGGAAGAATTTGAGAGTGAAGTAAAGCTTATAAGTAATGTTAATCATCGGAATCTTGTTCGGCTTCTCGGGTGCTGTAGTAGAGGCAATAAGAGAATTCTTGTCTATGAATACATGGAAAGGACCAGCCTTGACAGATTCTTATTTGGTATATTATATTACTCAACAAGGCTTATGTTGAAGCATTAGCTATTATTTTTCTTAATAACATTATGACATGTGAAAATATTTTGAACTTAACATAAAACCTTTAACAAAAATTAATTCACATGTCACAATTTTATTAAAGAAATCAATAAACGTATCTTTGTCAATTTCCTATTGAAACATTTTGTGAATTGCTTTGATGTTACCCTTCTTTTTTCTCTACCAGGAAAAAATAAAGGTTCCCTTAATTGGAAACAAAGATATGATATAATTTTAGGAACAGCAAGAGGTTTGGCATATCTACATGAGGAATTTCATGTTCATATTATACATAGAGATATAAAGACTAGCAATATCCTCTTAGATGATGATTTACAACCTAAAATTGCTGATTTTGGCTTGGCAAGACTTTTACCTGAGGATAGATCTCATCTTAACACAAGGTTTGCAGGAACATTGTAAGTTCAAAAAAATTCATTTATTTAGTTTTCTTAAGTTCTATTGAAGTTCTTGGATTATTGAAGGTGATGATAAAATCTATACACGAATAATAGGAATATTCATATTACTTGATAGATAGTTTCTAACTTTCTCCCTCTATACATGCAAGAATGAATCAAGAATTCATGTTGTGGGACACAACTTGATGGAATATTATTGTATTCTGTATGTCTATCTCAGATTTGGTTGGTTCTTATATATATAGACACACACAAACTCACACCCCTATTTTGTTCTTCTTAAATATTTGTGTTTGTGTTAATTTGAACCATTTAGGATCTATTACATCATAAATGAGATGCATTTTTTCAGGGGATACACTGCACCAGAGTATGCAATTCATGGTCAATTATCAGCAAAGGTTGATACCTATAGCTATGGTATCGTAGTCCTAGAAATCATTGTGGTCAAAGAAGTAATCAATTAAAGGTCGATGGTGCTTTTGAAGGCGAATTCCTCCTTCAAAAAGTAAGAAAGTTTCTTCTGACAGCTATTAACTAATGCAACTATTTTGGGAAAAAAAATAGATGCAAGACTTTTTTTAATGACTTATCTTGACTCTTTGAAAATCTATCCCTTTTTCATAGGAGAATTTAATATTTGTTATTTAATAAACATGAGCCTATGTTTTGATTTTCCTTTTCAACCTTCTTAATTCTTAATTCATTTCACTTCATTCTCACTTGGCAGGCTTGGAATTTATACAAGAGAGGCATCCACTTAGAGTTGGTGGATGATACCTTAGACCCTAATGAGTATGACGCAGACGAAATGAAGAAAATAATAGAAATTGGTTTGCTTTGCACCCAAGCATCTGCAGAAATAAGACCGACAATGTTTGAAGTAGTTCATTTGCTCCAACAGAAAGGTTTATCAGAGGATATGAGACCCACTATGCCTATTTTGATTGAAATTAATTAATTAGAGGTTCATGGAATGGAAGACGCCTCTATTTCAAGCGCCTTCTCTACATATAATGCTTATCGCTTTGACTTTTATACCGTTAGCAAGATATTTGTATTTTGGGTGACTTCAAGTTTTGAACACAAAAATGAAATAAAAGCATAGAAGAAGGAAAACAATCAGAACAAGGCTGTCCTTCATTTCATTCTTCAATATTTTTTTTGCAATATCAATCCTAGAGTATATGTGAATTGATTCTTACATGTAATTTTTGAGTAAATTACATTAATATTTCTTAAAATTGGATTGAACTACACAGGATATTTATATTATTTTTAAAGTGATATTATCAACTATAATTTTTTTAATTAATCAAGATAATATGTCTACATAATTTGTTAAATGAAATTATTATTTTTTTGTTTGTGTCAAGCATATACCACAAGAGTATGGATTTGTCACAAGTAGTTTTGTAATAACCCAGAAAAAAATTAAATTAATTTAAAATTGGTGACAAGATATGTTAAATATATTTTTACATACTTTGGGCTAAATCATTTTTAATGGTTTAGCGGCAAGTATCTTTAATATTAAATTTAAGACTCCAAGTTTGAATCCTTGGGATTATTTTTGTGAATTTTCAGCCTTTACAAAATTACCATTATATCCTTGTCACCATCCGGTTTTTTTTTTTTTTTGGCCCCCTCCTCCTTGACAGAGCAAGAGAGGGAGACCTTGGGATTCAGAAGCTTCATCCTCCATCCTTCACTTCGTTCTTCCACCATTCTTTCTCATTGTCATAGTGACTATGGGTGCGTTGGAATCGTCCTTCTCTGTTCGTGTTGTTGGGTGCTTCGGCTTCTTTCTTTTCTTTTTTGTTCATCGTTACCGTGGCACTTGCAGGACCTTCCTCTTCCCCTGTTCTACAGTGATTCCCTTCTCCTCTCTTCGTGTAGCTCTCTCCCTGTTCTGCGTCGTCATGGTTCTGGTGTGGTCGTGTGGTGCACCAACTCCTTCCCCTTCTATTTCTTCACCGTCGCTGAACTGGTTAAAAGGGAAGTTTAAAATTTTTCTCCCTGCTCCATCATGATTGATCTGAGGTGAGTATTCGAATTTTTCTCTTTCACTTTATGGCACTTCTGTGAGTCTGATAATGGGGCTTAGTTGTTTCTTTTTGTTTCTGGAACGCTGTGATGTTTAGGAGTGTTGAATCCATGGGTGCGCGCGTGTGGCATAATGGTTGAGGCTGTGGAATTTTTCCTGCCCTGTGCTGCCGTGTATGTTTGAGTATGAAGGTGAAATTGATTTAAATTGAAATTTTTAGTATAGAGAATAAAAGGATGATGGTGTGGTATTGAATTTTAGTTGAACTTGAATTGATTATTGATGCTGATAAATTATTGGATCAATGAATGAAGTTAAGAAGCTCCACTAAATAAATTAGGAATTGGTGCCTATTATGTGATTGTTGAAAGATCTATGAGAGGATTTTCTCTCTAATAATTTAGCTATGACCAAAGTTATATGAAAAAACTGTGATATAATTCAGGAAACTTTGAATTATTAGGATTGACTATATTGTGTCAACGTTAGAAGGAGATTTATTGAATTTGTAGGTAGTTTAATATAATTTTATAGTATATTATAAGATTGGAAGAGAGGAGAACTTTGTAAAATGTTTGTTAGAGAAATTTGACATGTAATGGCAAGATACTTGTTGTCATGCTCTAAAAATAGAGGATAACATGCATAAGATGTGAATCATATTACTCATCCCTATAAGTTTCAAATCATAAATTAATTACATTTTTAAAATGTAATCAAATTTATATTAAAATTTTAACACTTTTGACACTAGCCATTATAACAAAGTTTTAATATTTTTGTAAAAATTTCAACAAAACATTTCTTATAAATAGGATCTCTCAAAATTCTACAACATATTGTTTTAAACAAAATATCATATCATAAATGAGCTTAATTCCTTCCAGCCAGCAGACAGCATAATATCAAAATAAAATCCTAATTATGGCTTATGTGGAGCCCTTATTCATGCTTTCAAAAAATAAAATACATGAGTATTTATAATTACATCAAAAGGAGGTATTTCATTCAATTTTCCACCCAACACATTTAAAAGTCCTCAAGGGTTAGTAGGAGGATTAGCATCAGCTAAAGTGTCTAGGACCAAAAATATTTTTTTAGTGAATAAAGTCCCAACCATAATCTTTACAACAACAACAATAACAACAACAAGCCTTTATCCCACTAGGTGGGGTCAGCTACATGAATTGCAAGACGTCATTGTGCTTTATCATTTATCAAGCTTTTATAAATATTATTAATTAACAGATCGCGTTCAATAACTTTCAAAAGTGTTCTCTTAGGCCTTTCTCTACCTCTCTTAATCGGACTCAAAGTTATATGTTCCACTCTTCTCACTGGTGCCTCCCTTGGTCTTCTTTGTACATGCCCAAACCATCTCAACCGATTTTCTACCATTTTTTCCTCAATAGGTGCCACCCTCACTTTTTCGCGTACGTGCTCATTTTGAATTTTATCTTTACGTGTATGTCCGCACATCCATCGTAACATTCTCATCTCTGCTACTCTAACTTTATGCTCTTGCTGTCCCGTTAGAGCCCAACCATAATCTTTAAAAGTATAAAAATGAATAATTTGCAATAGTTATAAAAATTAAAGAGAAACAATTCAATATAATAAAATTTGTAAACTTGGAAGGACAAGCATAAGGACAACCATTTTCAAGGTGATCAAAGTTGTTGGTGACATGAGCTGTGGCACCACTATCAAGATACTAATTAACATCTTTCACAGTCTCAAGTGTTGCCATGAATGTAGAGTGATATAGGGGGTTTGGCCAGAATCTGAAGAGGAACCAGTGAAGGACTTGTCGCATCTGTGATAGCAAGTTTTTACAGTGTGTCCAAACTTATGATAGAGTTGGCACTCCACTTTGTTAGTGCCTTTTAAGGTATGATTGCCAGAATAAACTCGTCCACATTAACTATGACCTCCTCCACGAAAGAGTGCATGATGGTTGCTGTCATAAACAACAAGACTAACAAAGAGTGAACTAAGGCTGATATTGTTGAGATCATTGAGTTGTTCAAGGCGAAACTCAAAAGTCAATAGGGCTGCTTGCAATTTGACCCAATTGAGGTTATCTTTTTCAAGAAGTTGGCAAACTATAGGATTGTATTTTGCATCTAGACCTGCAAGAACTTGTGAGGTAAGGTCATTAGGGGAAATGGAATTACCAGCAAGAAGTAGATTGTCAATGATTGATTTTATTTTAGCAAGATAATCATTCATTAGTATGGAGCCTTTGTTGGTGCGTTGGAGCTCATTTTGGAGAAGAGTTTCAGATCTTTTGTCGCCTGCCAAAGCTCAAAGGACGTGAAGCAATGAACGAGCTAAGCTGCTATTTCAAGTGGCAGCATCATGAATAGCCATCCAAGAAGCAGTTGATCGGTTGAGATCCAATCATCAAATGCGGTGTTATGAGTGATGGTGTCACCATCACAGAGTGATTCAACAAGACAAGGGAAGGAACCATTTATAAATCCTTCGAGACGATGTCCTCGAAAATTGGGAAGAATGGTGCATCGCCATAAATGGTAGTTTTGCCTCTCTAGCTTGACAGACGTTGAAGAGGAATTGGAAGTTGCAAGAGAGGTGGCTTTTTGAATGGTGGAGGTGAGAGGTATCGAGTTTTGTTGGGTAGTAGAGGAATTGGAGAAACTCATGGTTATTCGTGATGGCATGGCTTTCACTGAATGGCTCTGGTACTGGTACCAAGAGCAAGAATAGGGATGGAGATGAATAGGTGAATATTATATGTTATTGTGTGTTGACTAATGTTACGCAACATATATACATGGTTCTATATTAATACATTCTTATCAGATAGAATTTTGTAGATTACAAATGCATCATAAATATAAAGGCTGCATATATAGTGTACGTGGAAATAGCAAGAATCTTGCATGATTAACAAGGTGACAACTGTTAACTCTTGCGGGCACTGTTATTTACTTGGGCCAAGAAGTGTGATCTGCTAACACTCTGCCATGATAAATCTCTGTTGAAGAGGAGTAATCATTATGATTGAACCTCGATTCATGAATTATTAAGTAACTTGATACTTCTTCAGGTGAAATGTCTCCAATGCAGGTGCTAATGGAGGAAATAATGGACTCGTAGTATGTTCCAAGACCATTAAAATGACAAGTGATAAAATCAATATCATCAATGGGTTTTCTACCAGTACTCAATGCATCAAAAATCAACACAACACGTTTGTAATTAGGGACAGATTCATCTCCTTTTCTTAGAAGTTGATTGTGTAAATGTAAAAATCAGGCCTGTGATATTTTAGTGAAGAGACGTCCAAGAGCAAGCCACATACATCTAGTTGTCTTGTGTTTTATCACATGACTAGTGAGCTCAGGGACTATGAAAGAGGAAAATAAAACTGAAAGTACTAAATTGATCTTACTGAAATCATTCTGAAAATTCAGGATTTAACTCTCCAAAAGGTAAAAAAGGGATTTGGAGGAGAAGAACTACCATCAATAAGGGGAAAAAAAAAAAAGCCGCTACTCATGCCAATAAGGAAGCATTTAAGCTTTCCAAATAGCATTTTTTTCATTGTTTAATTCGATTGAAATAAAAGGAGATGGTGAAGATGGAAGAGAGGGAAATAAAAGAAGCCTGTTGGGACGGTTTGATGGCAGCGACATTAATGATCGTAGGCCATTGCGGTGAGATATTTATAGGAAAGGCAAAACAACGAAGTGGCGGCGCCCTGATACAGAATTCTAGAAGCAATAGAGAATAGACTGAAAACAATAATGGGCCAGTCATAAATATTCTTCCAGAGTCATTGTTACGGTGAACAGGCCGAATATGCGTTCGCACATGAGCACCGGGCGCTCATCACACACGTGGCCAAATCGTGGCCTTTGATTTTATCTTGAATGGATCTATACTGTTCATTTAAAATTAATTTTTAAATATTTTAAATATTATATTTATTAATATAAAAATTATAAAAATTTTGATGTTAAATCTGGACTGGCTAGAGTATATTTATATGATATGTAAAAATTTTAATATTAAACTGACTCATTCAGATTGTAACTGAACTCACCAGAATATATCTAGATAGTCAAATTATAAAAATTATAAAATTTTTAATGTTAAATTGAACCTTTCAATTAAATTTATACTAACTAAATTGGTAATAAACAAATTGATTAAATTTTTTTATATTTTTTAAAATTTTTATTTTGATAAATGTAATTAAAAATAAAAAATTTTAAATTTAGATGGTGCAGATTTCATCAAATATTATGAGTGTGATGGTTCTCATTTTTGAATGAGTACGGAAAACAGACCAGATTTAATATCAAAATTTTTTATAATTTTTATATTCATAAATATAATATTTAAAATATTTAAAAATTCATTTAAAATAAACGATTGCGATCATTTCAAGATAAAATGAAAGGCTTTGATTCAACCACGTAATGCTGAGTGTTCGGTGCTCATCGAATGCAAACGCGGCTGAATATTGGGCTAGAAATTTGTCTCAACATTCCTCATCCATTCTTCAATAATTTCCCTCTGTTTGGTTGGTTGTTGAGGACCGGGTTTGTAAGATCAAATTTAGTTAATTCTCGACATTGAGCTGTGGACATTAAACTGGAGTGCCAGAATGATCATTGAGCTTCTCTATAAGCCTTGGCGACTTCATTGCATAACATAATTTAGTTAATATTATACTTCCTTAGTTTCAAATTACAAAATATTTTCAGACAAAATCTCACATACCAACAAAACCTTATTAAATACATCTAACAACCTTATTTTAATATAAACTTTTTAAAATATCTATCATTTAATACATTAAAAAGAAAAGAGAAATTAATTATAGAGAGAGAAAGGATAATATTAAAATTGATGCATTTAATGAAATTTTAATTCAAAGTGTCTTATATTTTGAAACGGAAAAACTCCTTCAAAAGTGTTTTATAATTTAAAATAGAGAGAATACTATATTTTAGATGCAATACAAAGACCACCTTTTTTTTTTTTTGGGAATTTTGTTATTGATCACAGGATCACTTCGCATAATGAGCAATATTATACGGTATTTTTTTTTTCTTTTCTCAAAGCATTACGCGGTAGCGGAGAAAACGTGTTTGCCTCTTGTCATTGTCATTTATATAATTAGTGCATCAAAGACCTATTTATATTTACATTTACTTCCCAGTCCTTAAATATTTCTATAATTATATCTAAACTAGTTTAATTTCATTTCGATCGATGCATCAATTATCATTAAATAAATAAATGGCTTCGGTAGAAATTTATTAGTGTCCAGTGTCTTACACATTCACACAAAATTCAGAGGCTTCTGCTACATTTACCAAAGTTATTTTACACCATAGGCGAAAGAAGCCACTGTTTCACACAAAATTTCTAACTTCAACTGATGGATGGAGAACACTTGCTCTATTTTCTTTATTATTTTTACAGGTTCAAACTTCAAGTGACCCATAACTGCACGTTCTTGAGTAATGCAATCACCTTCCTGATAGAATGGACTGGGACACAGTAGCATTTGATGAAGATGAACTATTAGTCGTAGAGGTGTCTCTTTTGGGCCTCCAATTAGGATCAACATAGACAGGCATAGTGGGTTTCTTGTGGTCCATTAAGCCTTTGCTTTTGAGCATAACAACAATCTCAGACATTGTTGGCCTTGCAGCAGGAGATGCTTGAGTGCAGAGTAACCCAATTTCTATGATTTTCTTGACTTCTTCTGCATCATACTCACTTGAGTCTAAGGTATTGTCCACAAACTCTATATGCAACCCTCTCTCATACAGTTTCCAAGCCTGCCAAGTGGGATAAAAGTGATATAGCATAGGAAAAATAATGAAGGTAACATCTTAAGCTTTATGAGATTATTGCTATCAAGTACTTTAGACGAAACCCTAATATTTGAAATATTTTTTTGAGGCATGTGTGGAGATGCGAAAATGTTCATGGGTCATTGGTCATGTTATATATTGATGTTTCTTCAGTAAAAAGTAGCTCTTTGTTATATTGGTTAATGGGAATAAGATTACCTTTTGAAGGAGTAATTCACTTTCATTATTACCCTTTACTTCACCACTCTTTTGTCCGCTTATAATTTCTAGGACTACAACTCCATAGCTATAAGTATCAACTTTCTCTGACAATTGTCCATGCATTACATATTCAGGTGCTGTGTATCCCCTAATATAAACATAATATATATGGCATTATGGATCAAAACAAAGAACATATACAACAGAAAATGAAAACAAATATGAACATTGACAAAATAAAGTTTGACATGTTATACATGCATGCGTATTTTCAGCTGCTGCATCATAAATGGATACAATGTCACTTGAAATGTTTGGCCTTTGTAGAAAAACAGAGCATCAATGAAAATCAATGAAAAGGATATAAAGGAAAATGTTACATTTTATCTATACATCATATTCAATATCTTTTCTTTTTGTGTGATATAATATAATATATAAGTGGATAAAAATACGATAAATTGCCATGTGTTTTTGCATGCTACTTACATTGTTCCTGCAAATCTTGTGTTGAGATGAGATTGGTCTCTTGGCAAAAGCCTTGCTAGTCCAAAATCAGCAATTTTAGGTTGGAAATCATCATCCAAGAGGATATTGCTAGTTTTTATATCTCTATGTATGATACAAACATGAAATTCCTCATGTAAATAGGCCAAACCCCTTGCAATACCCAAAATTACACCATAACGTAGCTTCCAACTGAGAGAACCTTTAATTTTTGCCTGTTACCAACACTTTAGAGAGTAAGGAAAAAATAGAACACAAGATATAAATGTTATTCTTAAAGCTACTGAAGAAATTAAGTCAAGTATTTGATTTTGTTCTACCGAATAAGTATTGGCCAACATTGTTGTTTTTCATGTACTCGTAAACTAGGAGTCTCTCTTGTCCTTTACTGCAACATCCCAAAAGTCGAACAAGATTTCGATGATGAACATTACTTATCAGCTTCACTTCACTTTCAAAATTTTTCTCCATCTCTTTGGATTGGCCTAACGCCAATTTCTTGACAGCAACAACTTTTCCATTTTTCAAAGTTCCCTGTTCAAGACAACATGCTTGACTATAAAATATGCTTATAGAAATTCTATCTTTATGTAGCATTTTATTTTTGGGTGTGAGATCACTCTTTTGCTTCATTCATAAAAACTATTCATAAAAGAATGATATTCACGAAAAGTTAGAACTGCAGTATGGTGAAACTCTCATCATCTTGTGAACAAATATTAACTAAATAGCCTACCTAGACTGAATTTATACAAATCGAGAAATGATATCAATTTTAATAGTGGAAGTGAATGTTTAGAAAGTTTACCTTGTAAACATCACCGAAACCTCCTTCTCCTAGTTTATTTTCTTTACTGAAATTTTTTGTTGCTGCCTTGAGATCTTTATACCTATAGTTAACAGGGCCTTTCAACTCAGTTGCTCCCAAAATGTCTCCTGTAAGGAAAAACCAAAGTTAAATTGTCTCCCTATAAAAGTTTACAACTATAACATTTCTTTGAAAAAGAGAAAAGTGAGAACCAAGCCACATTTCCTAGTTATCTTACCTCTAGGATTCCTCTTGGATAACTGTGATCGTCTATGCAAAGCAAATAATGCAAGAAGAATCAAAATAACAGATGCACCTCCGACAACCCCACCAATAATAGCCTTCTTCTTACTTGAACCTCCTCCTACAAATCACAAGTAAAACAGTTGACCCCATTTCCAAGTTTTTCTAGCCCAAGTGTATATATGATGCAATGTCTTTGAAGTTTAAAACTGCACCTTGTTTCAAGAAGTGCTTGATATTAGTAGTTTGATTATCAGAAAAGAAAGCAGTGGTGGAGTATCTCATGAAACAACCAGCATCATAAGTCTTGGCGTTTGAGTTGGGAAGACAAATCTGGAAATTTTTTAAGCCAGTTTTTAAGCAGTCCTGGCAGCCACTTTGAGTGAGAGTCTCAAGACATTGAGCAAAGGCATAAATTGAAGTGTTACTATTAGGCACTTGCGTTTTAGTGGCTGCATAGAAACCAGGTATTTTTGGTGTTGCTGTTTCCAGATCTGTTAGTACTTGTTCCACTGTTGAAGCAAGTTCAGTGGAGTTTCTTGCTTTAGCCCCACAGACAATGTTGTTGCCAGCGTCTGTGTTCTGATCAAAGAATCCACTGCTCTCGTACCTTAAATAAATATTATTAAATTAAAACACAAGAAAGGAGTATCCAATTAATTAATGTCAGTTTTGCCAGCCTCTTAAAATAGTTGATGCAAAATAAATATGCTTTGATTCTCAATATTTGCAGCTCAAATTAAAGTGAGTCAAATTTGCCATTTCTGGCCCTTGGGATAGCTTCTGTGTGCAGATACAAAAAGCCAAATTAATTGGAAAAGTTGTGTTGGTCCTACCTTGGAAGAATTGACAATAACTGCATGACTATGGCTTATGTATTTGTTTTTTTTATTTGATTTGATCATTTTATTTTATTAATTATTAAGTTAAAAATGCGTATTGGTCCTACCTTATAAATGGAAGAAATTTACGAATAAATACAGCTCTTCAAGTTGCTGAAAAATTATAAGTTTTCTATTTTAAAGTGAATTTCAATAATTAATTCAAAAATATTATCTCGAATGAGTTAGATTCAGACTTTACCCACAACAATTCAAATAAACTTTTTAAAGAAGAAAATTTATTCATTTAATTTAGCATAAAATAATTATTAGTGTTTTGCACAGAAATGAAGAATGAATAGCAACCTATAAATAATTCAAAATATTAATAGATTTTATAAGATGAATCGTATATCTGTATACCTATAGACTCAAATATAGTCAAAATACCAACTACTGTGAAACTCATTTAGTAACTATATATGCTACTTTAACCAATAATATCACGTTCAAAATTCAAGCAATGGGCATCCAGATGCCACTTTTTGAGTGTTTTCATACTTTTATTATGGTCATATTTAATTTAACTCAAATTTTTTTGGTCAACAATTTAACCAAATTAGTCAAAACCTAACAATATTAACAAAGAATAGGTGGGTTCCACTACACAGTAGTTTGATACTAAAACAATCAAAATACGATACCTGAGGAAGCATCCTTCATAGATGATACGGGCACCGGTGGCGCCGTAAGAGCAGTTGCGAATATTCCGGGCGGCGAATCTGAAGCAAGCGAGGCAGTCGACGATGGAGAGGTAGTTTCTGCACTGAAAAATACTATAAGCTGGGTTGTTTCCCTTCACTGCCTGCGACGTTGCGAAGTGTTTGCTTTGGTTCTTGATCTGTGCTTTCAAGTCTCTGAATGTCAACTTCAGGTTGTCATGGAAGATAATCGTGTCAGTGACGTTGTACTGGCTGCACCCTATTTTCACGTAACTGGTCTGTGGGTCTGAAACGACACCGTCTAGAGTCCATGACCAGATTATGCAGCTCCAGAAGGAAGAAAAAGAAGAAGAAAGCTTTTTGTTGTTGCAGAAGCATGACGTTTTTCTTACTTGCAGAGAGGGGGCAGAGAGAGAGAGAGAGCGCGCGCGATGAAGGAGAGGATCTGTTTGACGAGCATAAATAAGCATGGTGTTCGCAACCAAGACGCTGAAAATTTTGGGGATACGAAGGTAAATACCCGAAAAATGCAATAAATTTACATTTAAATTACTAAAATAATTCTTGTCTAGGTAGTGCTTGTATTGATTTAAATTTGCATATATAAAATATTTCATTTTATTCCATTTTCTTCAATACAAATCACACCCTAATTAAGAGATATAAAATATAATTCTAATCTGTCTGGAGGATTTAAAGATCATATATTAGTGGCTTGATTAGTGTTATCATCATTTCAACAAATATCTATTTCAAATGCCCTATTGCCTACGCTAAAGGTGTCCCAATGCAGACGTCGACGTCTAAGACCCAGTCTTCCACTGTGACTCCAAATTGGGGGAGAAAAGTCAACTTTTATAAAAATTCAATTGAATATAAATATTCTCATACTTGAATGACATAGTTATATAAAAAAATTCAGCTGCTAACATCATAATTGTATATTTTTATTATATTGTAATTTTAATTATGATCATATTTTGAATAAATTAATCAATGAATGTTTGCATATATTTAAAATCGAATTAAACTAAAGAAATCAATTATAAACTATGTAGATAAAAAAAAAAGATTTCAAGCTTATTAGTGGAGATTGTTTGTTGAATGAAAACGGAGGGCGTTTGTGAGTTTTCCGTTGAAACTTTTTTAAAAATAGGAAATTATTTCTGTTTTGATTTATCATTTATTATTATATTACTCTCTCCTTTTTAAATCATAAGATATTTTTAGATAAAATTTTACATATCAATAAATCTCATTAAATACACTTAACAATCTTATCTTTTTAAAATAAAAATATAAATTTTTTAAAATACTCATCATTTAATATATTGACAAGAGAAGTAATGAAAATTAATTATAAAGAAAGAAAGAATAATATTAAAATTAATATATTTAATAAAATTTTAATTTACTTAAATATTTTATATTTTAAGATTAAAAAAATTATTTAAAAATGTCATGAAAAGAGTACGTCATTTTTTATATTAAACACAAAATATCTCTCCCACTTCCCTCACCCGCCCACTTTCTTTCTTTCCAAATGATTCAAACCAAAACAATCATTGTGGTCAATAGAAATATGCCTGACTATATACCAAGGTGATAGACAAAGAATATTCAATTTTACATAAATTCTCCAAAAGTTAGAATAGTGGGTGAGTATATGGAAGCTTCCCTTCTTTCTCTCTTTTTTTTCTTTTTTTTTTTCCCTCAAAAAATTTAGGTAAATTGTGTCAAGAAAGCTTTCCTTCTCCATATAATTTTATAAAAAAATCTTGGGGCACTTTCATGGGATATAATTTCTTTTAGAAAAACTATACAAAGATATAAAAAATGAAATAAAATAATTTTTAAAATAAAAATAGCGGATAAATATTAAAGAAAAGGAAAGTGAGTTGCTGGGAGCACAGCTCAAGACTTCCTTGATTTAAAATTGCATTATACATTACATTTTCGGCTTTCCATTTTTATCAATACAAACACACTGATACTATTATCAAATAGTACTAAAATTAATAAAAATTAAAATTTATAATAAAGCATGACTTAGGTCATCCCTTTAAAAGTTAATAAATTAATTAATTGAATTAAAATTATGAAAATCTAAATAATGGAGAGATTTTTTATGACAAAATTAATTTAAAAATTTAAATTAAAATTAATTAAACAAATCAAGTCAACTAAGAAAATCAACAAACACAAGTAGCGTAATCAATTACAACCAAATTGCCTAAACTCAATCTTTCACATCCACAAAATAAATTAAATTTATTTAACTTTATTATTTTGGTTTTATTAATAATTTTTTTAAACTATCATTTAAGGATTGAACAAGAAATTAAGTTATAGACTAATTAAAATTGCCTTTAACTTGCAACCTAAAAATTATTTTTATATTAGCCACACTAAAAATAAAACATGTATAATTACTTAAACTAAGCCAAATTACTCTTATGATGTTATATTACTCGCTTATAGTAAAACAAAACATCAAATAAAATATATAATTCAAAAATTATGCAATAAAATTATTCTAATCCATAATAACAATTAAGGCAAAGCATTTAGATGTAGAAAGAAAAAAAGCAAACTAAAATAAAGTCAAAATAAAATTTTTTAAAATATAAATTTTTTTGATTATAGCTTAAAATTATAATTTATAATTGATTACATCAAAAAATTAATTCTCATAGAGTTCTAAAAGTAAAAATCAAATGGCAGAGAATGAGAGTAGGAGAAGTCATGGCTCGAGAAAATTGAATAGGAAAAAACGAAGAGCGATCGCCAACATCTCTGCTCCTTTCCAATTCACTTTCGCCGCCTTCTGTATCTCTGTTTTCCTTTCAATTCTGCGCCTCCCGCCACTGTTTCCATTCCTCCTCTTTTCCAATAAAATTAATAAATATTTAATTAAATTTAATTAACTTCAAATAAATATTAAAAAAATTTCAATTAAAAAGATAAAAATATATAAAATTATTATTTATCACACACCCTAAGATATACATGTGTGTACGGATATACGTGTAATATCTAATATTAATCTATTTGTATTTTGTATACTTTTATTTAATATATACATTAACGTTAAAGTCTGCGTCAACTTCCACGTTTTCTAAGTCCCCTGTCCTCCACCAAAATTGCAACTTGATACTTATTTTCTTCACCCCATTATTTAGCTCGTGATCTCTGTCACTTTTTTATTTGATATACAGTAATCTTCATTATCTCTTTGAAGACTTCTAAATGTTGATAATAATTTAGTCAAAAAAGGAAATTAAGTCCAGAACCAGAAGCATACAATTATTTGTATGTGAGAATGAGTCAACTTGATATAATTTCCACAACCTGTTTGGCTGGCACCCACGAAAACGACTGCCCAATTATCAATATTAATATGTCAATATTCAATATAAATATAAAATAAATTATAAATAATACTATATAAATTATGAATAATGTGGCAAATTTTGTCATCAGGGCAATGTCAAATTCGCAAAAGTAATTTGATAATTGATATTTACGTTCTTACAAGTTGGTAGAAAGACAATGAATTAAAGTTGCTGCTTTTTCTTTGTTTATTACTTTGAAACAAGGGGAACATTTTTTATGTATATATTTATTTTAAATTTTTTTTTATGTTTGAAATAATATTTTGATCTCTTTATCTCCAATAGCGTCATTATCGCTTGACGTTTAACTAGGGGCTGGATTTATTAATACAGATATGTCTTTTCTGAGTCATTGTTAGGAAAATTCCAAGAGTCTTCTATGACGTCATTATCGCTTGACGTTTAACTAGGAGCTAGATTTCTTAATATTGATATGTCTTTTCTGAGTCATTGTTGGAAATTTCCAAGTCTTCTCCCATTTAGACTTGCAAGTCTCAAAATCTGTATTCCTCATCACTTCACGCATCATCTGGAAAGAAAATGAAGGTTCTTCGTTATTTACCGTTTACCTTGGAAATCACTTGGCCCACCGGTAATGATCATGACCGCAACTGATAAGATGCCCTCAAAATATTATTTGATTCATATTATTAGGGTTTAATAAAAATAATATTAATTAAACATATTAAAATTTTTTTTATTTTTTAATGTACATATGCTTTTGTTAAATTATTCCTTTTTTAAAAAATATTTTTCTTGATCTTTAGAATATTTTTATCAGAAAATATAAAGGAAACACTTTTTGGAGAATATGGTCCATTGCTTTTCGCCTTGATTTGTATGGATATGCTTTTATATGATATAAAAGTGACTTGGAAAAGATAGACTTTCACTCATTTTGTATCAAATATTATTATTGATGTAAGAATTTTATTGGTGAGTGATTTATAAATATTTTTATAAATATTATTTAAATTTAAATGTATATTTTAGTCTTGATGAGCCTATTAAAAGAGCAATTGATATTGGGAGCGTCAAAATAAAGTCCTAACAGCTAGAATTAATAACAGGAATACCATATATATATGCAAATTGATAATTACATTTATAAGAATTTAAATATTTTATTTTCAATTGAAATTCTTAAATTTATAATTATTTGAATCAATATTTATAATTTATTTTTTAGAAAATTTTATTAGAGACCTTACTGTCATTAGTTAACTCTTTAGAGACTTAATTATCATTATTCTCCTATTAATATTTAAGCAAATTGGTACATATATAGACGTGTACTTTGTGGCTATGACTCTCCTAATGGTGCCCACTTGACTCTTATTTTGGACTGAATTGAATGCTATGGCCATTTTGTGTTTGGGTCAAAATCATTGTTGGAAATTTCCAAGTCTTCCCCCAATTGGTCTTCATGCGTCCGTGAAGCCCGCAAGGAAATTGGCCCACACACAATTTAAAACCGTGTGGGTCACAACTTTCAAAATTGCATTCTTCTCATCCTTCCACATATTGCCATTGCACCTTTTAAAAACTGGAAAACAAAAAAATTCATACATGAAACCAATACACTATATCATCTATAATTATATATATGTTATTATTTAATAAAAGCATGTTATGTTGCAAATTTACTTAATCTTATGTGTTATTTTTTATTTATGTTACTTTAAATTATTTTAATTTCTTGTCATTTCTCCCCCCCAAATTTATCATAATAGTAGAGAGAAAATAAGCAAGAAATTAAAGAGGCAGTTCAGTTTAAAAAAAAGTCATTAAAAGTATTACATATAAGATTTTATTTAATTGAATTGATGCAATTTTATTGGATAGAGTATGGATAAGATAGTACCCCTTGTCCATATCCATTAACTTTTTTTTTTTAATTTCTCTCATTCACCCAAAGCACTTTACAAGGTGGAAATTTTTTATCCAACTCTCATCATTAAATCATAGACTAAACCTCACTATTAGCTTCGTCTTTTTCAAACACCATGCCTTTACTCCGACGTACTCCATTGGTAGATTATTCCACATGACCTAACTTTCCTTCATTCATCTTCATTTACTCTCCACAG